ATAACGAGCTCACAGCAAATTGAGCAGACACAGTGTAACCAGAAACCCAGGCAAAAACCAGCCTGCTGTGGCGTTTCCTCCTGCTCTGTGCCTAGCAAAGCGTTTACAATTTTTAGTCTTTCCTCCACCCAGCCTGTCATTTATTTCCCCAGAATGCCACTTTGATTTCAGTTATATCTTAGGGCCTTTGGAAATCATGACAAGATTTGGGGATGAATTTCAAGTGTGCTGGCCTGATGCTTGTGTGCCCCCCACCCCGGCCCCAAACAGTAAGCACTTCTGGCAAAGAACTCAGGGTGGCTCACAGAGGCAGCCATTAAGGAGCTGAGGCCCTCAATCTGACAGTCTACGGTGAATGAATGACTCCTGCTAATAGCCATGTGAGCTAGAAGCAAAGTCTTCTCATGTGGAGACCTTGCTGCACCCCTCGCCCCCACAGCCCTGCCTGGCACATTAATAGCAGCTTTGTATTATAAAATAGAAGACCCTGAAGATGCATAATTCTTGGATTCCCAACCCAGCCATGGGGTCAGAACTACTGACTGCCAGCTAGAGGAAGCTGGATTTACACGCTGGACATAAAATAATCTCCAAGCAGAAAAGGTTAGGGAATATTTTCACACTTTCAAGGAAAATATTATCTAAATGCTAAGCTTTCTAGATGCCAATGTCAAAGACTCAAGTATGACCAAGGCCCCACCCCCACCCCCACCCCCGCCCTCCTGCGCTGTGAGATCTCGCCTTTCCTTCTTTGCAATGTGGGGAAGGCTTGCTGCCAGTTTGCCTGTGTGCTTTTATATGGATCCTCCATGATGAAGTCAACCTTTCTGATGTCCTTCTTAGGAATCTCATCATCTCGGGAGACTGCCTCGTTTCATGTGGAAGGAAACCAGAGATGACCAAACAGACAGTAGTCACAGGCTATCGTCACTTGTGACCAACCCCACTCTCCCTGGAATCATTAGAGAAGGTACCCTTATAATTTCCTAGGTTACCGGGCACTTGCTTGTCTTCCCTGTGGTCCTGAGCATGGAAGCCAAGGACGATGTGCTCCCGCTGTCTGCGTCTGCTTACTTCATAGAGCCAACTTTGCTGAGCTCTAGAGAGTGATGGGACAGTTTCTTTTGCCCCATGCTAAGAATGAAAACACAAACTCAATGGCATAAAACTAAAAAAGACTCCTTATGAACTTAATGCAGAAAGTAGGATGTAAAAGGGGAAAAAAACCTGGAAAAACTCCAACATTGCCATTGGTGAAGGGCGATTTCCTTAATAGATAGTGTCCAACAGCTCAAAACAGAAAAATAAGTGTGCAAAAACCATGTTTTACAGGACAGAAGACACAAATAGCTCCCAGATATAGGTAAGACTGCTCAGCCTCATAAGAAACCAAGTCAAAATAGCAATGAAATAAACCTTAACATGAATCAATAGCATTTCTTTACTAATTTATGGTCCCTCTGTGCTGTGTGTGCACACTCTTGAAAGTGTGCATGCCACAGCACTCTTAGGGAGGGCAGAGGACAGCTTGCAGGAGTTGGTTTAACCTTCCACCACATAGTGCCCAGTGGCTGGAACGCAGGTCTCACACCGAAGCTTGGCAGCAAGCATCTTTCTGTCTTTCTCTCCACACTGAGCCAACACCTGGCCTCTGGATGCCACTTTGAATCTATCAGCTGGCAAACATTGAAAACGTGAGTCTATCCTGCGCTAAAGGGATGGGAGAGAAAGATGCTCCCCTGCATGTGGTTATATTTGGCATAAACGCAGTGTAGGGCGATGCGATAGAGAGCTGTGAAAAAAGTTAATATTTGCGCTGCAACCTCCCAAGAGTATACCTGTACATGATATACGTTCAAAGGTAGTTCAGCTGTCGAAGTCACACATTGTCAAGCCTGAGGGCCTGTGTTCTACCCCCTGAACTCCCCAAAGGTACACACTGAAGCACAGTTTTTAATAGGGGGATTCTATTAAAAACTAAAAATAGGCAACACGTGTAAACAAGGTCCTGTTTAATTTTCTGGTTAAAACCGAACAAACAAGGCCGTTCTATTTGTGCTGACAGGGGTGTTTTCAACGCACGTGTGCGTGTGTGTGTGTGTGTGTGTGTGTGTGTGTGTGTGTGTGTGTGTGTTTCCAGAAGGCAACATGTGTAATATTGTTTATATTTGCACAAAAACCTTACACATTGTAGGCATATTTGTGTACTCAGATAATATTTCTGTAAAAATAGATGAGAAACTAGGAGGCACCGTGTTTACTTCTAGATCAGGGAACTAGATGCCTGCAGTGGGGAGACATGGGCTGGGAACTTATTTCTTATTTTACAGTGTTCTGAATGTTTTGGGTGGATGTTATGAATGAATCCCCTGTTCACAATTGTTAATGGAAAGTGGGTAATGTTTTGACACCCAAACCCTCTCTAGAACTTCAAAAGAGGGGTGCACTTTCGGGCAGACACAGTCTGTGAATGCCCCTCTGTCGGGACAAAAAGCAGAGAAGTGCCCACTGTATTTTTAAAGTGCAGCTTAAAATAGAGCGTGGCCGAGCTCCCGGCTCAGCCCTGGTGATTGCTGGTTACAAGACTGTCAGGGATCATTTTCCAAAAGCCAATTTGCAATTCTCTATAACCCAGAAGTTTGTTTCCTGTGCAGATATTTAAGCTCTAGGGAATGTGGTGGACTAGGGAGTTGACCCCATAAAGAGCTGGTGGGAAGTTCCGAGCCTTGGGTCCCCAGACAGTTGCTTCCTCATTGTCCTCAGCTGGTCCCCACGGCCTCTCTTCTCTTTCTGGGTCTAGCCTGTGAGGGTTCTGCAGCTGTGCGTGCCGACAACCCCGCCCCTTCCCTGTAAGTCTAGAACAGCCCTAGCTGGCACCTCCGCAGCTGTGACTCATTGCAAATGCTTTGCATTCCGGGATGTTCTGCTGGGTTTTGGGTCTCCCCTGTGGCTGGAAGCACCCGGCAATTTGAAAGGGAGGAGAAACAGAGGCTCCAAAGCTGCCAAAAACATTGCAGAGACGGGGGAGAAATGTTAGGAAAGCTGCAAAGAGCTCGTGCAGGAAGAAACCCAGCCAGTTGGGCTTTCTCCCTCCCTCAACTGGGCTGGTAACGGGAGCCGGCAGTGGAGCCCAGCAGAGCTTCATTCACAGGCCAGAGCCCCACCCTCATCTGGAGACCATCTCCCGGTTGAAGCTAGTCTAACAGGCAGAAATGTGGGCCTCCTTTATATTGAATAGATGTGGTGTTTGCATCTTCCATGACTTTGGTGGTGGGAAGGAAGCTAAGCATGCGCTCTGTGGCTGAGCTTCACCCCAGCCATGGCCCACACTTCTCACCAATCTTCTCCTCACCTCTTCCTTCTCTCGAATGCCACACGCCATCCACTAGCTTTCTAAAAAAGAAAGTCATAGGTGCTATGTGTGTCCCGACTCTTTCCATGTTTGGTGTCTTAGGTTTCTGTTACTGCGATAGAAACAATGACCAAAGACAATTCGGGGAAGAAAGGCTTTATTTGCCCTAGTCACAATCCACCATGGACAGGAACTCAAACAGGAACCTGGAGGCAGGAACTGAAGCAGAACATTGCTTGCAGCCCCTCTAGGATTATGTTCAATTACCTTTCTTTCTTCTCTCTCTCTCTCTCTCTCTCTCTCTCTCTCTCTCTCTCTCTCTCTCTCGGTCTCTCTTGGTCTCTCTTTCTTTTTGTGTGTATGAGTGTTTTACACATATATATGTGTGTGACTATATATATATATTTATGTATATATGCATGCATATATACATATGTATAGTATCACATAGGTGCAGTGCCCTCAGTGGCCAGAAGAGGGCATTAGATCTCTCTGGATGGACCAGGAGTTACAGAGGGTTGTGAGTAGTGGCATGGGTGGAAATGGAACCCAGGTTCTCTGGAAGGGCAAGCAGTGATTTTAACTTCTGCCAGCTACCTTCCTTATACCTCCCAGGACCACCTACATGGGAGGCACCACCCACGGTGGGTTGGGCCCTCCTACATCAGTCATCAATTAACAAAACGCTCCAGAAACCTGCCTACAGGCTAATAGGATGGAGGAATTTTCTCAATCATGGTTCCTTCTTCCCGTATGACTCCAGCTTGTGTCAAGCTGACAATTTCAGAAGGTCTGTTTTGCCTGTTCCTCAAAACCTAGTTTATAAGCTTCCCCCAAGGTGGCTCCATCAGCATCTCTCCCCTGTCTTCTGCCATTGAGTTCTGATAATTGGATCCGCCCGAGAGTCTGAATTCTTTTCCTTCTTTTGCATTCTAGTAGCTATACTAAGATATGTCTCAACACTGAATGTGCCTCAGTGACTTTAAAAATTGTGGTTTATTACTTGTGTGTGTGTGTGTTTGTGGGCATGTGTATACGTATGAGCATGTGTGTCATGACGTGCATGTGAAGATCAGGATAACATCTGTATGTCCGTTCTCTCCTACCTTCTGGACATAAGTCCAGAATCTGAACTCACGTCACCATGGTGGCATGGGTCAGCTCCTTTACCCATTGAACTATTTTGCCTGCCCTTTAAAAATTTTTTTTTGAGGCAAGGTCTCACTATACAGCCTAGGCTGGTCTTGAATTCACAGTCTTCCTGCTTCAGATGCACAGTAAGGTATGCGGGGTACTTTTTAGGTATGGTCTTGCTATGTAGCTCGGGCTGGCCTGACTTCACGATAGTCTCGCTTCAGCACCTTGAGGGCTGGGTTTACAGATGTGAAGCACTACACCTGGCAGACGATGTGTTCTTTATTTCTGCAGATTCTCCTGCCTCTGTTTCAGGGATTAGATTTGTCTATTCCTATTGCAGCAATTAAAAAAAAAAAAACCTAAGGGTGAGAAACAGACTGAGGAAGATAGCTTATTTCAGCTCAAGGCTCTGGAAGTTCAAGGGGGTGGTGGTGACATTGACTCAGGGCAGACATCACAATGCTGGGTACACAGGAGGGCGGAGGGCAGAGGCCGCCTGGGAAGACAGAAAGCTGCAGTGAGGGGTGGGGCCGCCCTCGCTCTTGTTAAGGCCTAACCACCCGTGATGGCTGCTGATCTCGGTTGTCACCTTGACCACATCTGGAATCAACAAAAACCCAAGCAGCTGGACACACCTGTGAGGGATTTCCTTGATCAGATCATTTGGTGTAGAAAGACCCACCCTAAACCTGGGCCATACCTTCTGGTGGTAACCCACGTAAAAGGACCGGGAAGGTTTTGCTTTTCGCCTGCTGGCCCTCCCTCTCTGGCAAGTTCATCCATCCCGCTGCTGAGGTGTTCCTTTCCTTGTAGCAGCTCTTACTTCCTCAGGACTCCATCACAGACCGAAGACCAGCAGCTCGCTAGGATCCGGCACACCAGTGGGACCACTGAGACATCCAGTCTCATGGACTGAGTAACTACAGTGTTCTTGGCCATTCTGCAAGAGACAGTCATTGTTGGACTACCCGGACACAGCCTGTAAGTCACTCTAATAAATCACACACACACACACACACACACACATACACAC